GATGCTTCTCCTAGGAGTCATTCATACAGAAGGCCTCAGCCTTCTGGATTTTGTAGGAGATGTGGCAAAAGATGACACTGAACCAACAAATGTAGGTCGATCACAAAAACAAGGTAACCCTTTATAATCGGTAAACCTCTTGAGGGACTCTTGAAGGCCCCCATGTCAAAAGTGGTCAGTCATTCCCAGTCACTGTGGAAGACAATCTCTCCCAGGACAATTAGAAGATCCACTGCCTATTGTAAAGAATAATACTGCTTTGGATGATAGATTAGCTACTGAGAATGAATCAATCATATCTGGAGGAAGCAAAAAATGTATATTTTGGCACACAGGACCCAAATTACCAGTTAAAGTGAATAATAAGGTGATTATCAGAATTGAAGACACTGGTTCTGATGTTACCATCATAACTCAAAGATCCTGACCTCTAAGATGGCCCCTACAAGAAGTAAATGTTAAATTCTTAGGGATTGGAACCCTATCTCAAGTAAAAAAGAGCACGTGATGGGTTGACTTTATAGGGCTAGAAGAACAAAGAGGAAGACTGAGGCCATATGTCACAGACATCCCTATAAATCTCTGGGGTCGTGATATATTGCAACAATGGAATATCCAGTTAACATTCCTCCTGTATCTGATATGAATCATAAACAAGCTCTTGGTGGTAGAAAAAATATTGTAAGGCACTACAGAAAACAGATGCCAAACATACAGGCTGTACAGAAACAGGATGCTAGTGCCAAACCTACAGAAGAACCAAATGCACTACCCTTAAAATGGTCAACAGATGAATCTGTCTGGGCAGGGCAATGGCCTGTGACCTCAGAGAAGCTAGAGGCTTTAGAAAAGCTGGTTCATGAACAGCTAAATGCTGGACATATTGAAGAATCTACCAGTTCATGGAATTCTCCTATATTTATTATTAAAAAGAAGTCTGGTAAATGGAGGATGCTTACTAATCTGAGAGCCATCAATAAAGTAATTCAGCCTATGGGCTCTCTACAGCCTGGAATGCCATTACCTCCTCTGATACCTAAAGGATGGCCAATTATAGTAACTGATCTAAAAGACTGCTTCTTCATTATACCTTTACAAGAAAAAGATAGGGAAAAATTTGCCTTCACAGTGACTACCTATAACAATTCTCAACCAGTTAGGTGATTTCGATGGAAGGTTTTGCTACAGGGAATGTTAAATAGTCCTATTTTGTGATAGTATGTAGTGCAAAAACCTTTGGAAGTAATTCACAAACAATTTCCACAATCCATAGTTTACCCTTATATGGATGATATACTGTTGGCTGATTCAAAAGAAGGAACATTGGAAAAGATGTTTGAGTCAGTAAAGGAAATTTCACCTCACTGGGAATTACAGATTTCCCCTGAAAAAATACAAAGGGGAGATTCTATTAATTATTTATATTATAAAATAGATCCACAAAGAATTAGACCACAAAAAGTTCAAATCAACCAGATTCTTAATGATCTTCAAAAACTACTAGGAGAAATTTCTCAACTACAGACTATTATTGAAGTAGAAGGGCATGATTTAAGATACCTAAAAATGACCCTAAAAGGAGACAAAGACTTAAGTAGTCCACGAATATTATCAGCTAATGCTGAAAAGAATGAGAATGGGTACAAAAGAGAATACTGGAAGCACATGTGGACCATGTGGATCCAAACCGGACTGTATTCTGATTATTTTACCATCTAGAGAATACCCCTTAGGGATTTTAATGCAGAGGAAAGATATCATATTATAATGGATATTTCTGCCACATAAACAGAATAAAAAACTGAAGATATATATAGAAAAGATCTCTGATTTGATTTTAAAAGGCTTTGTCAACTAACTGGAAGGGACCCAACACAGATTAATGTACCTTTAACTAATGAAGAAATTTCCTCCTTATAGAAGGATAATGAATATTGGCAAAGGGCTTACAGTAACTTTTTGGGAACGATTAGTAACAATTATCCCAAAACAAAGAGAATCAAATTCATAAAGGAAACAATATGGATCCTTCCATGTATTGTAAGAAAAATGCCAATCTCTGGAGTCCCTACATTCCACACTGATGCAAACAATTCAAGAAAAGCAGGTTATAAATCAGGAAATATAAGTAAGGTAGTTCAAAGACCTCACAACTCTGCACAAAAGGCAGAATTGTACGCCATTCTCAAGGTATTTATGGATTTTACAGAGCCTCTTAATATAGTTACTGATTCTCGAGCCGGGTGTTGGTGGTGCATGCCTTTAATCCTAGCGCTCGGGAGGCAGAGGCAGGCGGATCTCTGTGAGTTCGAGGCCGGGCTGGACCGATAGCCTCCAAAACAATACAGAGAAACCCTGTCTAGTAAAAACCAAATATATATATATATATAGTTACTGATTCTCAATATGCAGAGAGAGTTGTGTTAAAGATTAAAATCACTAAATTTATTCCTGATGATATGGAATTAGCTCCATTGTTTATACAATTGCAGTAAACTATCAGGAATAGAACTCATCCTATATTTATTACACACATCAGATCCCATACGGGTCTGCCAGGTCCTCCAGCACAAGGTAATGATGAGACTGGTTGTTTACTAATAGGAAGTGTGCTAGAAGCTTCAGCATTTCATAAAAAACACCATGTTAATAGTAAAGGCTTAACAAAGGATTTTTCCATCACTTGGCAACAAGCCAAGGAAATAATAAGGAACTGCCCCACCTGTTCATTCTATAATCAAACTCCATCAGCAGCAGGCAGTAATCCCAAAGGTATTCACAGAAATGAAATTGGCAAATGGATGTGTTTTACTTTCCAGAATTTAGAAGTCCAAAATATGTGCACCATATTTTGAGACACATTTTTGAGGTTTCAATGGGCTATTGCTCTTAGCTCTGAAAAGGCTGATTTTGTTATCACATACCTCTTAGAGGTGACGGCTATTATGGGTATGCCTGCACAAATAAAAACTGGCAATGCCCCAGCATATATCTCCAGCAAATTGAAACAGTTTTTCAAATATTATAACATAAAGCACATAGCTGGTATAACATACAATCCCACAGGACAAGCAGGGGTTGAGAGATCTAACTGCACTTTAAAAGGAATGCTTCATAAACAGTCAGGGGGAACAAAGACCCCCAAACACAGATTATATAATGCTTTATTAACATTAAACTTTCTTAATGCTAATGAGAAAGGGCAAACAGCTGCAGAAAGATCACTGGACTACAGAAAAAACTTCTGAACTAAATTAGCTGGTGTATTTCAAGGATGTGATGACCTCAGTATGGAAACCAGGATATGTGTTACATTGGGGAAGGGGTTTCACCTTTGTTCCCACAGGAGAAGAAAAGTTTTGGATACCATCAAAATTGATCAAGATTCGATCCGAACAGGAGGAACCTCGGGAGGAGGAAAGATGACAGCTCATCCACAAAGTCATATTCCATGATGTATAGAGACCTCACAAAGGAAAGGGAAGTGTTTTGTCCTTGTCTTAACAGGAAACCCCATCTCCCAAAGGCAAGAAGACACTGAATGTGTAGATACCTAAAGAAGAGAGGATGACTAGCCTAAAGAACCATCAAACAAGGAAGAATCTGATATTTGCTATCAATGTCTAATTCTCTTTATATTCTCATAAAATCAATTTCTCTTTACTTCCTAATACTCTTTTGGCCCCAATTCACTTAAACCAACGCTGGCTTTGGAGCTGGACACAGTCTCCTCCTCTAAATCCAAACATGTTGTTAAATTAAATTCAGAGTTTCTGTATTGTATCAAGAAGCCAATTGATATAAGACAGAAGAAAACAAAAATTTAGGGACTGTTACTTATTTATACTCGGTTCTTTCTCTGAAAGTCTAATTTTCTATCTTCCTTATTGTTGCATCTCCCAGTATGCATACCTATAAAAGCTGAAATTTCTTTGTTGACACTAACGTTTGAGTTTTCCACAGAGAACAAAGAATTTCCTACCAGAAATCTCTGAACACTCCGGAAAGAAAATGGGGCCCCACTTCATCGATTCCACCTGATCCAACTTGATGCTCAGTCAGCACTGGATTACAGACACACACTGCCATGCTAAATCAGCACTGGATTATACACACACACTGCCATGCTCAGTCAGCACTGGATTATACACACACACTGCCATGCTAAGTCAGCACTGGATTATACACACACACTGACATGCTCAGTCAGCACTGGATTACAGACACACTGCCATGCTCACTCAGCACTGGATTATACACACACACGGCCATGCTCAGTCAGCACTGGATTATACACACACACTGCCATGCTCAGTCAGCACTGGATTATACACACACACTGCCATGCTAAGTCAGCACTGGATTACAGACACACTGCCATGCTCATTCAGCACTGGATTACAGACACACACTGCCATGCTCAGCACTGGATTATACACACACACACTGCCATGCTCAGTCAGCACTAGATTACAGACACCCACTGCCATGCTCAGTCAGCACTGGATTACAGACACCCACTGCCATGCTCATTCAGCACTGGATTACAGACACACTGCCATGCTCATTCAGCACTGGATTACAGACACCCACTGCCATGCTCAGTCAGCACTGGATTATACACACACTGCCATGCTCAGTCAGCACTGGATTATACGCACACACTGCCATGCTCAGCACTGGATTACAGACATACAATACTAAACCCTGTGTACACCCTGGTAGAGATCCAACCCAGGATCTTTTGCACTCGAGATAAATATTCAGCAATTGAGCCATACCCCCAGTCCAGAAACTATATTTTGGGTAGTAATTATAGGTCTTCAGAGTGAAGTCATGAAAAGTCTTGTCCCAAGAATGAAATAGTATTAGGAAGGGACAGAGACCCAGCCTTAGTCTTAGAAGCCAGAAAACTTGGACAATCTTTCCACATCGCACCTGAGCCATAGCCCTGAGAGGAAACCCCTCCGTCCCTTGCTTTGGACAATGAGCAGTCATACCTGGATCCAGAAACGGTGTTCCTGTGGACAAGGGAGAGGTGGGCTGCATTCTGCTGGTGGTCTGGGCATCTGCCAGGAGGCTCAGGGTGGAGGCAGTACTGTACCAAAGGAAACCCAGGACAAGAGTGATAATCACAATTGCCATGCAAGAGGGGTGTGTCTAATTGAGGATGATTCTTTCTCTAGAGAGGAAAAGAAAGCCTGGGAACCCAGACCATCTGCACAGCCTTGTCCAGCATTGTGCAGGCAGGGATTATATTTCTAGACCTCCTGGCTTTACAATCCTGACATTATAGAGACAAACACACATTCATGTCTGCCCAACCCCCAACCCCACCAAAGATCTATAGGCCTGATGCCCCTGCACACCCAGCCCAGACTACCCTGAGCATGACCTGAGCATACAAGGGACCATTCCATCCTGCCTACAGGAGGGGTTAGGAGTCACCTGGCAGGCTCCTCGCTGTTTTCTGAGGTGCTGAAGTCAGGGAGAGTCCCCGGAGATGGCAGCTTCAAGTTCATATTCATCTCTGCCTTATCTGTAGGGATGATTACATATTAGAGTCAGTACCAGAGACTTTGAATCCCCAGGAAGACTTGACCAGCACTCAGTGGGGGTCAATGGGAGGCAGTGGGAGATAATGGGAGGTATGAGTGGTAGTCCTCCGTAACACAAAATTCTTGGCTACAGCTGGCAAAGACCATCAGGATTGTGCTCTAAAACGTCAAATTAGAGAGGCTGTGGTTGCATGGGAATTGTACCCAGCAGTTTCCTAAGGGCCAGCAAGATGGCGCAGCAAGTAATGATGCTTCCTTTCCTGTCAAGCGTGAGGACCTGAACTGGATCCCTGGGACCCCATGGTGGAAGAAGAGAACCGACTCCCACGAGTCATCCCCTGACCTCCAGATGCACACTGTGGCACCTGCATCACACACACACACACACACACACACACACACGCTCGCACACGCATGCGCGCACACACGCACACATTACTCACTAGTCACTCCAAGCCCCAAGGTGGAAACATCTCCAACCTCTAAAAGCGGCTTGAATGAGCCAAGCATGGTGAGTCTCTCTAGAACATGCTGTTCATTTCCGCAGAAGGGCGAAACAGCAGCGGGGTCCTCCACCATAGGAGCCACGAAGAGGACATTTAGGGGCCACAGGCAGGGACCACCTGTTCTGTCACAAGCACCCTCAGTACAGGACAGGGACACCCAGCACCTGTCCCAGACCCTGGCATGCAGGACACTCAGACATTCTGGGAATGAAGTAGGCCTTGCAGAACCTCTGGCCCATAAGCCTCGGGCTCAGGAGCTGTGTCCTAGAGATGTCCCTCTGTTCCCACTGGGCACCAGGTCCCCTCATCAGATAGCAGCACCCTGGGAAACTGCCACAGCTTCATGTAAACAGTACCTGGGTCTGGACTGGGCTCCCTTGCCTGGGAAGAGGGAGACTCTGGAACCTTCAGCAGCCCAGCAGCATCTTCCTGGGCAAGGCCGGTGCCCCCTTGTGTCGTCAAGCCCCTCATGCTGTCAGGTGTGGCCTGAGGAGTGGCATGGCTGGAGAAGAAGCCAGACAGACGTCCAGTGAGTCCACAAGCCAGTCCCACAAGGTCTGGGCTTGGGGGTTAGTGTCTGCGGAGAAAGGCTCCTGCCTCAGTACCCACGGGCCCTGCTATGAGCTCCTGAAGGCAAGAGCTGTGTTTCCTGGGCTTTCTTGGTCTCCTGTGTACACCAGGCAGGGCTGGACACGCACAGCAGGGACTCCGATGAGCTTGGCAGTGGACCACCCAGGGGGCCTGCCAGCCTGGGTTGACCCCACCCTATGTGTCCTGAGACAAAGTGGCCCATCCAAAGGTCACCTGGAAGGGGAGAGAAAGGAGGCCGGGCGTCACCTAGTAAGTGTCTTGCAGTCATCTGGATTGGAACAATCACGGACAGGTCCTGATGAAGGCAATTCACAGACGGTGTCCTTCTCTGCTGTGCCTGCAATGGGGACAGTAATGACCTCAGAACAGACAGGGAGGAACCCAGAGTCCTCAGGAACAGAACTGTCACCACCAAGCAGAGTCATGGATGACCGTGACCATCCAGAGACACTGGCTTTCCCAGCATCTGCCCACTCTAGAGTGAGGAGAATCTATCCCTCCATTTGTCCTGGTCAGGGGCTGACCTATGCTTGCTGGTGACTTACCAGTTCCCAGACAAAGCAACACAGATATGAATGAGAGGTGGGAAGAGGCAGAGTCCCCGGCTTTGGCCATACCTGACACACTCAGCACCATTCTCCATACTTTCGTTACACATGCACCACGAGCACATGCGTGCACACGTGCATACACACACACACATCACACACACATACATACACACCATACACACACACCATACACACACATACCACACACACCACACACACACATACACAAACACACCACACACATGTACACACACACACACCACACACGTACACAAACACACCACACACACACCATACACATACACACACACACATACACACACACACACACACCATCAGGTGCCCCTGGACTTGCCCTCCACCTCTCCCATACCCTTTCTCTGCCAGGCCGTCAAATGATCATACACCGCCCTCACCGGGCTGCCATCTACCCAAACGATGATGTGTAAATGAGTCTGCCACATATGAAATAAACAGCGAGTGCTCAACCAGCAGGATGTCCTTTTCCGCACCTCAACCCCAATCTCATCACTCAGAAAGGGTCCCACATGGGTCAAAAGTCGCCCCAATGGTTTCCGGCCTCCAGGGAGGCGACCACAGCAAGGTGAGCAGTTTGATGAAGTTAACAAAGCTTAGTAGGGCGTCCAGTCATGGCTGGGAGAAGACACTCACTGTGATCTTGGGCTACTGGACTGTCACCTCTGGGGGTCAGCTCTCCAGTTCCAGAACGGCACTGATGGAGGCTGCCCTGCAAACACTCGGTATTGTGGGAGCTTTGAGGGGATGGTTAGCCATGCCCTTCACTGAGACAGAAGTCACTTGCTCCTTTCACAACCAGAAAGCCCCCATCCACCAGACCAGACCGGCCTTCTGGGAGAGTCCACAGGACCTCCAGAGCTGAGAAGGTCAGGTGGCCATGGAGAGCCCCTGACAGGATGTGCTGGGGGTCACGATGCCGGCTTTCGTTTTCTGGAGGCATCATTCGAAATGGTGAAAAGGGGAGCCGAGGCTGGTGGCACGCAGCCTTAACCCCAGCACTTGAGAGGCAGAGGCAGGCAACTCTGTGAGCTCCAGGCCAGCCTGGTCTACACAGTGAGTCTCAAGTCAGCCAAGAGCTACGCAGCGAGGCCCTGTCTCAATAAAAGGAGGAAGACGGGTCTTGAGAGATATCTTAGTAGTTAAGAGCACCAGCTGCTCTTCCAGGGGATCGGGTTCAATCTGCAGCTCCCACATGGTGGCTCACAACGCCAGTTCCAAGGAATCCAATGCCCTCGTCTGGCCTCTCGGGGCACTAGGCATGCAAGTGGTACACAGACATACATTCAGGCAAACACTCATCTATATAGAATAAATAAATCTAAATGCAAAAATAAATCTGGTTGTGGTGGCACATGCCTGTAATCCCAGCACAGGAGTGTGAGGAAGCAAGATCACAAGTTCAAATCCAACCTGGGCAACAGAGTGACTCTATCTCAAAAGATAAATGAAGAAATAAGAAACGGACTTTAATAATGTACTAATTTGGGCAAAGAGTATTGCTTAGTGGCATAATACTTGCCTGACCTGTCCCCAGTAACACACACAAGCTGGGCATAGTGGTTCATACCTGTAATGCCTGCACTTGAGAGGATGAGGCAGGGGGATTGCTATAGTTTTGAAGCCAGCCCCGATACATAGTGACTTACAAGACTCCTTGGATACAAAATAAGATCTGATCTCAAAAACTCCAGCTGGAGAGATGGCTCAGAGGTTAAGAGCACTGGCTGCTCTTCCAGAGGTCCTGAGTTCAATTCCCAGCAACCATGTGGTGGCTCACAACCACCTATAGTGAGATCTGGTGCCCTCTTCTGGCCTGCAGGTGTACACGCAGAGCATTCATATTCATAAAATATAAATACAATAAAATCTTAGAAGAAAGCCTCATAACCTAACAACATAACAATCTATGTCAGTCAATATAAGTATAACAAGATATCGCTTACATATTAGGTCTTTGAAAGCCACTGAAACATACTGAACATCTCAATCTAGACCAGGCACTTTTTGTTTCAAGGCAGGGTTTCTTTCAATAGCCTTGGCTGTAGCTCTGTAGACCAGGCTAGCCTCCAACTCACAGAGATCCACCTGCGTCTGCCTCCAGAATGTTGGAACTAAAGGAGTGTGCCATCACCTGGCTCCACCAGCCACATTTTAAGCGCTTATTGCCACGTGTGAGCAACGGCATAGCTTCAGAGACCGGCCTCTGGCTCCCCCATGTGGCAGTCTTAGGAACGGCCTGGCCCTGCTTGCTGGAAGAAAAGAACCCTCAGCCTGACTGGCTAAGCAGAACCTATTTTTCAAAAAGAAGAGTTTTTGAGCAGGGAAAGCTCCAGAAGGTAACATCTTCTCATCACATGGGTAGGGAGAAAGAGCGGAGGGGACCGGCCCCACCCGCAGGTGCCAGACACTGCTAAAGCCCGGCCCGAGGCCAACTGAGCGCCGTCCCTCTGTTTACCGACAGTGGGATGTGCGTCCCTTAGCAGACAGCATTCCCTGACGCAGGCAGTTGGGCACAGCCAGGAACCAGAAATGCCAAGGACACGGGTTAACGAAAAAGGTCCCCACAGTGCCTGCAATTTCCAGCCCTTACCATCAGTTTGCCCAGCTGCACGCTGTGGCGCTGTAGTGGTGCTCTTTTGGCTGACCCCACCCCCTGTGTCTCCCTTCTAAAGAGTACATCGCACCCCGCCACCCGATTTTTGAAAACAGAGTCTCACTATGTAGCCTAGTCTGGCCCCCTAAACAGCACTTCGAAGGCAACCAGAGAGGATCCATGATTCTTATTCCTTCGTTGACCATGAGCCTCTCCTTGGAGATAGCATGGCCTCAGGTCACAAGGCAGGTTGGAAAAAGAAATATTCTCAGCCTTGAATCTGGTGTTCAGTGTCGAGGTACCTCTCCCGCCCGATGCCCGATTCCGATTAGTCAGGGACTTCCCAGGGCAGACACTTGAGGCTTCCTATTATTTATGTGACACTAGAGAATCCTCTCCAACCCCAAGCCTCAGACCCAGGCTTCAGCCAGCAGAGTACCTCTGATGGGGCACAGACGTGAGCAGCTACAGCAGCAGCTGCAACTGGGCTACAGAAGGCGACACTCACCTGGGAACTTGACGACCTGGCCCCCAGAGCAGCGGGAGTGTGGGAAACAGCGGGCACAAGAATTGACAGCTGGTGTCTTGCAGTACGTGCCAGGCTGACACTCACAGACTCGAGAAGAGTTCCTGGAACACGGAGCCTTCTCCACGAGACCTGAGGGACACAGAGGAGGTGATGGAAAGGAAGAGGGAAGCTGAGGGCAGGATCCAGGGAACATAAGGATAGTCCAGGGTGAAGGTAAGATGCCACATGAGCCTCTGTACCTCCCCTCAGATCCCCTGACATGTGTGAGTTCAGATCCCCAGCACCCACGTGAAAAACTGAACTAACAGGACCCGGCTGTTGCAGAAACGGGAGGAGTCCTGGGGCTGGCCAGCCAGTGTAGGTGAATCAGTGAGCTCCAGTGAGAGTCTCTCTCAATAACTGAGTTGGAGAGGGATTGAGGGAGACAGCTGGCATCAGCCCCTGCCACACATACAACATGCATGTGTGCATACACAAATATGCATATATATGAAAATAAATCATGTCCCAGCACATGGAGGGAACTGAAGTACATGTGGCTGTGCAACAAGCCGTTCTCAAAAGGCTTTACATTGTGATTCCATGGGCCTCCTGCAAAAGAAGATGCTCTTGCTGGTCGGTGGTGGCGCATGCCTTTAATCCCAGCACTCGGGAGGCAGAGGCAGGCGGATCTCTGTGAGTTCGAGGCCAGCCTGGGCTACAAAGTGAGTTCCAGGACAGCCAGAACTATTACACAGAGAAACCCCGTCTTGAAGAAAAAAAAAAGATGAAGGTCTGACTATAGAGGCAGAAGGGCCAGAAGCAGGAGGAGATTTAGGAAGCGCACTGTCTGTTCTGGGCGCACGCACACACACACACACACACACACACACACACACACACACACACACGCTGTCCATTGCCAAAACCCACAGGATGGGCACTCAGCTGAGTCAGGGTGAGGGATGGACTTGGTAACACCATGGTCATACTAGCTTACCCTCTGTGCTGGGGTCCGAATATGAAAGAGTCTCCTCCGAGGGAGATGGCTGAGGGGGTAAAAGCCGTTTGCTATGTAAGCATAGGACTTGAGTTTCATCTCTGGATCCCATGTTTTAGGAGATGGAGAGATGGTTCGGTGGCTAAGAGCACAGCTTGCCCAGCATGCTCAAAGCCCTGCATACCGTTCCCAGCCCTGCATGAACCAGGCAGGCAGTGCACGCCTATGATCCCAGCATTCAGGACACGGAGGCAGAAAGACACACACACACACACACACACACACACAGAGAGAGAGAGAGAGAGAGAGAGAGAGAGAGAGAGAGAGAGAGAGAGAAAATATATAATCTTACAAAAAAAGAACTTTGCAGGCAATAAACAAATTACATTTTTAAAAAGACACTGAAAACTTTTTTTAAAAATGATTATTAGATTTCAAGAAAATCTCAGCACATCTTCCAACCTAACCATGCCCCCAAAACCACTCAAAATCAAAAGAAAACACCAGACCCCATCACTAAACACAAGCGACTAACATAAGAAGAACCAGTTTCGAGACTTTCCTGGAAGCATCATGGTCTGCGGAAAGGATGAAGGACTTGGGAAATGGCAGGTCTTGGCGCCGGGCCACCGCCCCAGACTCTGCCTCTATCATGCACCACCTTTCACAACTCCAGGAAGGCCCTTCGCCTCGTGAAGTCCTCCCTACAGAAATGAGCTAAGAAAAGAGTCCTCCCTGGAGCCATTGTGAAGACGTGAGTCCTCCCTCCAGGGAGCACGCTAGGTCTCTCTGAAAAGTACGGATGCAAAACATGACTGCTGGTATCAAATCCAGAGAGGTAAACTGAGGCAGCAGGGGACCAAATCCTGAGACGTCCTGCCTCTCCGATTCCCCTATAGGACGCATTCCAGGGAGAGGGAACAGGTTCTCACCTTCCAAACATGTCACACAGGCTGTGCAGTACCCATCTTCATTCACGTAGTGGTCGGGAGCACATTGCTTCCTGCAGTGGCCAGGACCCTGTGGGCACGGCTGCGTTGGAGAGAACCCTGAAAGAGGCAGCAGGGAAGTTCTAGGCTAGGTCACCTCGATAGTGAGCAGGCTTCCCATCATTCATCTCTCATGCCTCATCTCCGTCCGTCTCTACTCCAACCCACGGTTGTCACAGATGGAGGAATGAGCCTCGCTGGAGGTCACTAAGCCAGCAAAAGGAGCAACCCAGGTGTGGGGAAACCTGGGTCTGGCCTTCCTGGCCTGTCACCTGACAACCGGTGGACCCGGACAACTGCAATGACGTCTAGCAAGATCTGCTTCTGAGCCCGGCGGGGTGGCGCACGCCTTTAATCCCAGCACTTGGGAGGCAGAAGCAGGCGGATCTCTGTGAGTTCGGGGCCAGCCTGGTCTACAAGAGCTAGTTCCAGGACAGCCTCCAAAACCACAGAGAAACTCTGTCTCAAAAAACAAAAAACAAACAAAAAGATCTGTTTCTGCTAGCATTGAATGGATTAAAGGGGCCATGGAGGTCAGCAAACTCAGCAGAGGTCCTGAGTCCCTAAGGGAGCCGAGGACTATCGGGAGTGAAGACCATGGAGATCCTGACCCAAGCTGACTGAGAGGTCCTGGAATCACCCAGTGACCTCCCTTCCACTCGTTGAGGACTGGAGACACAGAATGATGATGCCGAGGCAGGGGATAAACGAGGATGGGCAGCAACCCTCATCCCCACCCCCACCCTACTCCACCCCACCCCCGATATCTGCAAGGGGTTGTCTGCTCGGCCGGAATCTGCCATGTTTGTTCAGGAGGCATGTTTCCCACAGCTCAGTCACAGGATGAGCACATGGCCCAGGCTGGCCAATCAGAACGCTTCATTTTTCCCATCATCGCCTCACTGTCGTGACTCCAACGGACCAATCAGAGCGTGCCATCTTTCTCACCAACTGTGACTGGCTCGACCTGGCATCCGCCAATGAGCCCCATCGCTGAGCGCTCTCACGCCAGAGGCTCTCTGGGCTTGCTGCTGGGTTTCTGGAAGAGCCGGGCTTGGTGGCATATTCCTTTCACCACGCCTGGGAGTTACAGCCCAGTCTCTGCACTGCCTGGGATTCTGCCCGACTCTCCAGGATGGCTGTCTCTGTTTCCAGCCACCAATGAGTCCCCTGTTGCAGGGCCTGGCTCATGTTTGGTGAAAACCCATGTTCTGACAGCTTCCCGAATAAAAGCTGGAGGGACGCCGGGGCCTCCCCCCATCCCCACTCTGTACCGGGCCTGGAAGGAAGGGGTAAGGGCTCAGGACTCTTTTAGCCCAGGCTGGGCTTACAAGCAGGCGATTGTGGGCAAATCCCAGAACGCTTCCAGAACGTCTTAGCTCTCTTTCTGGGTTCCCACGAGGTGCAAGCGCTAACGTGGTAAAGGGCCCCGGTCCCTCGGTAAGCACTGTCATTGTGTGAGGCGGGGTGAGCTTGTCACCAAGGGTATGTAAAGCAGAGAACTAGGCAGCAGCTGGGGGGGGGGGCGTCGAAAGGCATGTGGGCATACGTCAGGCGAGACACGGGACGACCTCTCAAATTCAAAGGTCTCTGGGCTTCCTTCCTGCGCCAGCCCACCCACGTGCAAACCCCGCACACAGCTGAGCGCTGATTTGAGAGGGCAGGCAAAAATGTCAGAAAATTTCCCCAAAACACGGAAGGAGGGGGTTTTTTGGTTTTCCTCTGTGGCTTGCCCGGAAACGCAGGGTCAATAAAACTCCAGCAAAATGCCCTGCGCACCACACAGGCCTGAGCTGCTCAGCTACCTTCTGCACGGGGGGGGCCTTAGAGAGGGGAAGTGGGAGGAAGGGGCGACCACTTTTTGTAAGTCTCAGCTGTTAAACGGAGAATGCCCGAAAACTCGTGTCTTCCTTTCTGTGAGGGAGCTGTGGCCGCGCAATGTCACAGCACACCATGGCCACACTTGCGGGCAGACGAGTGGGAACCTGTCCCCCTGCAACAAAGGGAGGCGCCCAGAGGTGGGGTCTCGGAGCTGCAGCAGGGCTGAGATGGCAGAGAGGTTGCACCCAGGGGCAAAGGAGACAGGCATAGCCGGAGGACTAGAGGCCTGAAAATGGGAGAAGGAGCTAGAAGAAGTGACCTCTTCAAGAGCGGGCAATGCACTTGCCATCGGTCTGAAGGGTGGGTGGGAGGGTGGAGGAGAGAGATGAAGGAGAATGGGTGAAGGATGCAGGGAGGAGACAGACGCTGTGAATCGGAACTGCCCCCCCCAAACCCTTAGCTTCAATGTAACTATTTGGAGAGACAGTTTTAGGGACTCACTAAGGATAAAGGAGCCCTGGTCCCACAGGATGGGGGCAGAGGGCCTCCGAGAAAAGGGGAGCACATACCAAGGAAGGTGGGCGGGTCAGACTGCAAGCCAGAACAAGCCCTTTGACTCTGTTTTCTAACCAGAGGAAAGTAAAGGCCTGGAGGACCCCAAACAGGAATAGGGAGGAAGACAGGCTGGATGGGGGAGAGCAGTAGGGGGAGGGGAGGGACCCACGAGAAGCTGAGCACTGTGGTCCAGGGCTGTAATCCCAGCATTCAGGAGGCAGAGGTAAAGGGATCAAGGGTTCAAGGCCAACCTCTACTACACACAAAGTTCAAAGCCAGCCGAGACCAACGACACGGGACCCTGCCGAGTTGTCATAAAAAGGCTGGTCTCAAGAATATTCTCTGTATGTATGTTTATGCGTTATGCCATGTGTGAGGGTGCCCTCAGAGGCCAGAAGAGGGTGTCAGATCCCCTAGAGCTGGAGTTCACAGTCATGAGCTGCCTCGGGAGGTTTTGGAACTGAACCTGGGTCCTCTGGAAGAGCAGGCAGTGCTCTTAACCACACCGAGCCATCTCTCAAGCCCCACAAAAAACGTTTTGAAATCAGTTTTGGGAACAGACACTATTAGATACTTCCTCTGGTAGCCTGTGCAAGGCTGGAGGCCCATCTCGTGGGCCATTCAGACAACACAGGCCTCAGAGTAGCTCACCAAGAATCTTCAACCCCAGCCACTTCCCGCAATGACCTCGCCTGTCCCCACCTCCAGACAGCGTGCCTGGGAAGATTTAATAGCGGGTACATAAGCTACCCCCTACCCACAGGAAGCCCTCCAGACACAGCGACCTACCTCCGATGCCTTGCTGTCCTAAAAGCAGGGGCCAGTTACACTGAGCTGGTGACAGAGGCTTCCTCCCACCCTCAACTTTCATAGCTAATGTCTCTCTTCCAAATAGACACCTATTCCTGGACTCAGAGACCACACCACAGCTTCACCTCATAACCTCAGCCACCAATGGCCCCCAACATACGTTTGGGACTTTTGATCATAGTCACAAGGGACCAAAATGCTTCATAACCCTTTTCTAATCTTCAAGCCTGAAGAATGTTCCAGGAAGATTTCCTGGCATTCTACCAGAACTCGGGCTGTGCTAGGGTGGGTGAGCATTCCAGAAAGCCAGTAGTGGTTAGGCAAGCCCTGTTCCCCCCAGAAAGTTACAGCCTGGAGCACCCTGGGACAAACACGTGTCCTGACTTGGAGCAGACAAGAACGGGAAAGGTCAGGGAGAGGTGGTGTCCCACAGTCCCAGCACTAAAGATGCTGAGACAGAAGGATAGCGAGTTCAAGCTCAGCCTGAGCTATAGGTTGAATTCAAGTCCAGCCTGGGAGATTCTGTGAGACGAAGGAAGGAAGGAAGGAAGAAAGGAGGGAGGGAGGGAGGGAGGGAGGGAGGGAGGGAGGGAGGGAGGGAAGGGAGGGAGGGAGGAAGGAAGGAAGGAAGGAAGGAAGGAAGGAAGGAAGGAAGGAAACAGTCACGGATATAGCTCAATGGTTAAAAGATCAATTGGTGCTCTTGCAGAGGACCCAGTCCGACACCCATCCTGATCTACGCAAGAGCTGCACACATGTGGTGCACATACACACATGCAGGAAAAACACACGTAAAATTTAAAAGAATTAAGGGAGGAGGGGAGGGAGGAAGAGGAGAAAATGAAGGCTTGCAAAGGGCTTCCAAGCTCCAGAAATGACATCTGGTCACAGGGGGTGTTAGCTGTTGAGATCCAGGGGTCCCAGATTCCTGGACTCTAGCCCCAGCCAATGCTGCCATGCCTCAGCTCTGGGACCCTGGCCACGTCACACAACTTGCTGAACCCCAGCAGCCTTATCTGCAAAGCAGAACTGATGCTTAATGCGGGATAGTGTTAGGTCTCCAAATGGGACAAGCAGCTGAGGTGCCTACTTAACACATCAAAGCGGACCTGACCAGATTCTCCCAGCATCCCATCTGTCACAGGGTATGGCTGGCATACCTGCCCTCTACCCTGAACTCTCCAGCCCAGGGCCTGGGCTGCCCCTCCCCAGAGGCTCTCCCATATATAATCCAGATTTTGGTTACCCTCCCCCTTTACCTTTGGTCCTCCTGGCTGCTGCACCCGGTTCCCCTCTCTGTCCTCTTCCTTCCCCTCCCCATTGACTCCCATGGCTCAGGGTCATGTCCACTCTGGACTCTCCCAGGTGTCCCTGCCTCTGGCTACACGCTCCCTTCTATCTGCCGCAAACTGTCTCCTCCATCACGCCTAGGAGCTGTCCTGTCCTTCCTTTCTCTCTCTTCTTTTCATTCAGACAACACTAAGGAGCAGGGAGCATGGCAGCTGGAATGCTCCTGGCTAGAGCCCTGCACAGGCAACACCAAAACCTCAGAAGGGGGGGGGTCTTCATCCCTGGGGCAGCGGCAGACTTAGCCTGTTGGTGGCTTTATTCTTCCCCAGACCCTGTGACATTAGGGATGGCCCTTGGATACCGGTACCCAACCATGACCATGTCTGCTAGCTTCTATCCAGCCCTCCCCAACCCCTACCTTGTCACCAGTCCCCCCCATGAGGCTCACACATCAAAACAAGGAGTCAGCATCCTGCCCTCCACACCCCACTCACCAGAGGGGCAACGGTGGCAGCAGCTCCCGGCATAGTAACTGGCGTCTCCGGTACAGGTGGTCATGAGTAGTCGATCCTGGAGGGTCAGAGAAACTGATGAGTCAGGGGCCAGACTTCTATCCTCAACACCACCCTGCTGTCCCGGGAGGCCTGGTGTCCACCCACTGCCAAGGCCAGGCTGAGACCTTTGTCACAGAGGTCAGGAAGAGAACCCCTGAGTTGACATCTCCCCGTGGAGCTAATGGCAGCTTAGTTGCTGGTGGAGCACCCAGGAGTCTCCATGCCCTTCCTCTTCTCACAGTCACCGCCCCCACCACACACACACACACACACTCACACACACTCACACACACTCACACATACTCACTCACACACTCACTCACACTCTCGCACACTCACTCACACACATACGCTCTCACACACTCACCCTCACACACTCTCACACACTCACACTCACTCACACTCACACACATACACACACACTCACACACACACCAGCCAGTTCTCTCAGCTCCCTTCAGGCCATCAGCCACGGCTGCAGCCGGTCTGTCTCTCCTGGCATGCTCAGAACCCCCTCTGGAAAGAGAGCATTAACCTCTGTGTCCACTAATAAGTTCTGTCTGCTCTTAAATTTAACATGGGTCAGACTGCCCAGTCTTTTCCTTTGCAACTGGCTTTTTAAAATTTGGTGCACAAAATAATGGGGTTGGGGGGGGCGTGGTGGCACACACTTTACTCCTAGTACTTGGGAGGCAGAAACAGATGCAAAGCCAGCCTAGTCTCCATCCTGAGTTCCAGGATAGCCAGGGCTACACCATGAGACCCTGTGTCAAAACCGAAATGAAAATAAAATGCTTTAGTGTGTAAACACGTCCATGTCACTGCGCTGTCTTTGTTCACACTCACTCCTATAGCCTTGAAATCTCTGTGTGCACGTGCCTGGAAGCCAGAGGGGGACACCAGGCGTCCAGCTCCATCGCTGTCCACCTCACTCCCTTGAGAAAGGGTCTCTCCCTGAGGCCAAAGCCAGGGCGGCAGCCAGCAGGCTCCGGCCATCTCTGTTTCCTCCTCCCACTGTGCTGGAGGAGCTACAGGCGCTGGCAGCCACACCGGCTTTTTAAACGGCTTCTGGGGATCTGAACCCAGACCCCTGTGTTACGAAGCACACACCTCCCCATTGAGCCGTCTCCCCAAACCCCTACAGTCAGCCTCTTTAATTCAGTATTAAGCTTCAAGACTCATTCTTTTTTTTTTTTTTTTTTTTTTTTTTTTGGAATTCACTAATACCCATGGCTTTGCAATGTGGTCAATGTATGTCTGTTTTACTCTAGATGAACATTTAATACTGCCTTTTTTTTCTGAGACAGGGTTTCTCTGTGTAGCCTGGCTGTCCTGGACCTCACTCTGTAGACCAGGCTGGCCTTGAACTCACAGAGATCCGCCTGCCTCTGCCTGCCTAGTGCTGAGATTAATGGGGTGCACCACCACCATCCAGCTTTTTTGTTTGTTTGATTTTAAGACAAGGTCTCTATATGTAGCCCTGACTGTCTTTTTTTAAAGATTTATTTATTTATTTATTTATTTATTTATTTATTTATTTATTTATTATGTATACAGTGTTCTGGCATCTATGCCTACACCCCAGAAGAGGGCACCAGATCTCATTACAGATGGTTGTGAGCCACCATGTGGTTGCTGGGAATTGGAACTCAGGACCTCTGGAAGAGCAGCCAGTGCTCTTAACCCCTGAGCCATTTCTCCAGCCCCCAGAATATTTTCTTTTTAATTATTATTATTTTATTTACTCTTCTCTCATACAATACTTCCAAACTGCAACTTCCCTCCCTTCACTCCTCCCAGTCCCCCCCCCAAGAAAAGAAAAGAGCAGGCCTCCCAGGGACATCAACCAAACAGGGAACAAGATGCAACAAGACTCCACACAAATTCTCACATCAAGGGTGGGCGAGGCCACCCAGTAGGAGAAAAGCGATCCCAATGTCAGGCAAAAGAGTCAGAGATACCCCACTTCCCATTGTCAGTAGTACCCCCCAAACACCAAGTCAACAACCATAACATATATGCAGAGGGCCTGGCACATACATGCAGAGGGCCTAGCGCTGACTCTTACAGGGTTTACAATGACCTCTCAGTCTCTATGATCCCAGCTTAGTTGATTCTGTGGCATTCTCCCCGTGTCCTTAACCCCTCTGGCTCCCACAATTCTTCCTCCACCTCTTCCTTAGGGTTTCCCAGTCTCCAAAGGGAGGGACCCAGTGGAGACCTCAAACCTGGGCTCGCTCTCGCTCTCTCTCTCTCTCTCTCTCTCTCTCTCTCTCTCTCATCCCTCTCTCTCTCTCTCTCCCCTCTCTCTCTCTCTCTCTCTCTCTCTGCCTAACGTTGGCTATGGGTCTCTGCGTCCGCTCCTATCAGCTGCTTGAGGTAGTCTCTCTGGTGATGACTGAACTAGGCACCCATCTATGAGTATAGTAGAACATCTGTCTTAGAAGTTCTGTGTAGACCAGGCTAGCCTTGAACTCACAAAGATCTACCTGCCTCTGTCTCCTGAGTTCTGAGATTAAAGGCAAGTGCTAGTCTATGTGTTTCTTCCTAAATGCAATGAGTTGGCAACTCTGATCAACCGGAATCCAGTTTACTTCTTTTCTTCCTTGACCTGCCTTTTTTTTCATGTAGGTCAGGCTGGCCTCAAATTCACCATTAACCAAGAATAATTTGATCTCCTGGTCCTCCTGCCCCTACCTCCCAAGCTCTGGAATTATAGACATGTACCACCACACTCAGTTCTAAGCTGGGGCTGGAACCCAGGGTCCCAGGCATGCTGGGGGAGCACTGTACCGACAGAGCCGCACCCCTAGCCTGACTCTCCATCTGAGTCTTTCAAGCACCTGCACCTGCTGTCACTCAGCTGTAGTGTGTGAGGCTGCCATCTGTCCTGCATGCTTGCTGGCACTCAACCGATGTATGCCAGTTAGCCATGCATGCTGGTTACCGGAACCCTTTTTTAAGCTGCAGTAGTAGCTTTGGTGGGGGCACATGTTATGGTTTCTTTGCATTTCTCTCATGAGTAACATCGGCCTCACTTATTCTTGGAAATCAACACCTGTAGCTTTCTAGAGTTCTTTGAACCATAAGCCCCACTGTGGATGGACTTTGTCATGATTAACTTAATAGGATCTAGAACTGCCCAAGAGATAAGCCTCTGGGCACACCTGAAAGGAATTTTCTAGATTAGGTTAATTTTGACTTGGGAAAACACACCCTGAATATTGCCAGCCTGGACGGACACACACACACACACACACACACACACACACACACACACACACACACACACGAGAGAGAGAGAGAGAGAGAGAGAGAGAGAGAGAGACAGAGACAGAGACAGAGACAGAGACAGAGACAGAGACAGAGAGACAGAGAGACAGAGACAGAGAGACAAAGACAGAGGCAGAGGTATTTCTGGAAACTTTAGCAAGCAACACCAAGGTCACTGTGGCTGGAAGGTAGGTATGTGGGTGTTAATTACATCTTTTTTTTTTTTACACATCTGAAACCATGTCACCATACTCACTTGAAACGATAAGTATTAACGTACATAAGGCTGGGTTGTAGCTCAGTGTGAAGTGCTTGCCTCGCCTGTGTGAACCCTGGGTTCCGACAGCACGGCCCTGAACATTGAGCCGTTGGCACAGCAGTTGGGAGCACGGGTATCTCTGCTATCATTCCTTCCAGGTTCCTTCAAGCAGCCTTCCATTCTTCTCAGGTCACTGGGGGCTCCCAGGAGCCTCCAGGCAGCAACCCCACAAGCACCAGCTGCCGTTCCCTGACTGGCAGCACCTCCCTGAGTGTACACAGAAACTTGAGGTAGAGCTAACTGAGCTGTCAGAACTCAGCCCCGTGGGGGCCTTCAGAGTGTGGGAAAGTTCTGTGTCCTTGCCCTGGGTTTTCCCTCCTGGCCTGCCCCATCATCTCACTGATAGCTGAAGCGTCTGAGAGAGTGTGGCCCTAGGCCTGGAACATCTGAGAGCCACCAACCAGTCCTCATATCTCCTTGCTGTCCTTCCCTGGGGTGTGTTACGGTGTGTCACTCCTCCAAACCCAGCCTGCGTTCAGTCAACTCCTGCTCCACAGATAAGGGAGCTGCAAACCAGAGAGGCACAGCTGTGTCTGCCCAAACTCACACAGCGACCAAGAGCCAACACTCCTTTGGAGCCTCACAATGTCTCAGCTTTCTCCCGTCTCAGCCACAGGCTATCTTTAAAAAGTCCAGTGTACCAGAAAGGGCAACATGTCACCCCATAACCCATATCAAATCATGATCCAAAATTAAGGGACTTTCTACAATGTACACATTTTAAAATGTCAGTACAGATACTGAGAAGTTGGCTCAGCTCAAGAGTGCTTGCTACTCAGCCGGGTGGTAGTGGCGCACGCCTTTAATCCCAGCACTCAGAGGAAGGTAGAGGCAGGCGGATCTCTGAGTTCAAGGCCAGCCTTGCCTATAGAGTTAGTTCCAGGGCAACATAGAGAAACTGTCTCAGAAAAAAAAAAAGTGCTTACTACTCTATAATAAGGACGAGGGTTCAAATCCCCAACCCACATCAGTTGGCTCACATAAATAATAATAAAAATGTCAGCTCAGAGCCAAACGCGCTGGCGCATACCTGTAACCCAGCTCTCCAGAAGCAGATGCTGTAGGGTTAAGGGCTCAAGCTCTCCTTCAACTATATATCAAGTTTAAGGCCATTGTGGGCTCCTGAGACCCCGCCTCAAAAGGTTTAAAAAAAAAAGTTCATGCATATAGTTCCAGCACTCAGGAGACAGAGGCAAGAGGATCACAAATTCAAGTCTAGCATGGGTACCTGGTGCAGATAAGGTGAGTTTTTAATCTCAAAATAAAAGGATTGGGGGCAGGGGGCGGGGGATATAGTTCAGTGGGAGAGTGCCTGCCTACCTAGAATGAGTGAGACAGGCCCTGGGTTTAACCCCAGCACCACTAAACAAACAAGCCTCGGAGTCTGAATTATCGGCTGCTAAGGAATGTGAGGGCGGAGACCC